ACACAGATCTCTTTCGATATCTATGCATATAGACAACAGACCTAGACTACGCTCTTTTGTATCTATATATATATATATAGATATATATATATATAGATAGATATCTATATAGATATATATATATATAGTTTTGATAGTATTTTGTGTAATAAATATGTTTACCACAGGTTAACTAAAAGGTAAATGATTTTATGTTTGGATGTTCACCTTCATTTTATATCACATTACAGAACAAGCCATAAACTCACATACACTCTAGGGCAATCCCACCAGTTTTATCTGTGATTAGTTTGTCCTTAGGTTGAAGATGGATGTTTGGTTTATCTCACCATGTTTGAGCATTTACACTTAACGCTTTAAAGGCACAATAACTCAGTGGTCAGTGCTGTAGTCTTGTAATCTTGTGGCTGCAGGTTCGAGCTCAGGTTGCACCAGAAAGAGCCTCCGGTTTAAAACGGTTGCCAAACCTTAGGTGTGAATTTGCTCGCTGTGGTGACCCTTGCAGGAAGTACAGTGAACACTTTAAACTCTGTTGCTCTTTATGCTGTAGTGAGCATTCTGGGACCTGTGACGACTCCAGAACAACAGACGATGACCAAAACCCCTTCTTCCAGCTCCATGTCTCAGCGGATGATGCAGACCTTGTCCAGTACCACCATGTAAGCACAAACCTTCATACACACTGGTCACACAAAGACCATAGACTTGTTTTTCACCATTCCCTTTATTTTTTTTGTTTTTGTCTTGATAGACTTTTTTTTTACACTTTTTACTTGGAGTTAAATAACAAGAAATATTGTGAGTAAAGCATTGATGCTGCGTTGAGGATGGCATTTTAAACTTTTTATAAGTAGTACTACACATGCACTCAATTTGATGTGAAACTTGTATTTAAAAAAATGTTTTTTTTAACCAAGGCGAATTAAAGAAATTCACCTTTTTGGCTTTTCTGCCTGTTTAAAATTATATTGTGCTTTATCTTTAAAACTCAAGAGGCTACATCTTTATATACAGCAAATACTAATAAATACTTAAAAATATGTTAGCATGTTTATATCAAGAGAAAATGACTGAAATTCACAATGGATCTATATTTTTTAATGTTATTTCTGAACTACTATACAAACTTTTTGAACTTTGGTAAAATGATCCACCTTTTAGAACAGACTTCTGGTTCAGTTTTTTTGTTTTTAAATGTTCCTTTACAATCCTAAACTTAAATGTGCTCTGCCCTCTCCAACTTTTGACCTTGTCACCCTCAGATTTGGGAGCAAAAGCAAAGCATCGTCCGTCTCTCACCGGCAGGGCAAATTCTTTGCTTCTCCTCAGCTGAAATGAAGGCAAAGAGAAAAACTATTGACATTTCTGAATGTTACATCTATAACTGGATACATCTTTATATAATCATGTTGGAAATAATAACGTGCAATTGTAACACATTTTCATTATTGTAGTGTTTTAAAACTTTTGTCACCTTTTTTTTTTTTTCCTTCAAAATATCAGATTTCTATTTGCCTTTTTCTATTTGATCCCTAATATTTATTGATAAAATCTGTAACTTTAACGTGATTAGACAAGGCTCTCAATGAGCAATCCATTTAGAACGAATGAACACAACTGATTTTTTGTTTGTTTTTTCAAAATTATTATTTTTTTCTGATGTTTTGTTTGTGTTTGTGTGGTTTTAAATGGTAAATGGACTTGTATAGCACCTTTCTGTCTAATCAAGATACTCAAAAATCTTTTCACAACAATCTGTGCCTCATTTACCCATTCAGACAGCACACTACTAGATCTCTACAAAGATTAATCAAAGCTTTAGATCACATTCATACACTGATGGGACACGCATCATAAGCAATGAGGGGTTCAGCGTCTTGCCCAGGGACACTTCGACATGCGACTGCTGGTGGAATCGAACCCCCAACTCTTGCATTGGAGGACGACTGCTCCAACCACTCGTCCACAGATGATCACACTAAACTCCCAACTTGTATACACACACAAAACCCCCCACCACCACAATTAACAAAGAAAATGAAATAGTTCTTGGCCAGTGCATTACAGCTTTTTGTCTTTGGTTGCTTTGACATGTTTAATTTTATTTTTATGTACTATAAAACAGTTGTTTAACATCTGATCTTTCTATCACTTTGATATCACTGATGTTCAGAAAATAATGCTGCATTTTGCACTCTTATTTTAGACTATATTGTCATTTAATAACCACTAGATGATGCTGTTTCACCTGTTTTCACCTGCAGGCTTTAACAAATGAAGCCGCTTTGCTGCAGGGCCATTCAACTCAACTGCTCAGGGGGGCCACAGTTAAAAGACAAGAGCTCAGGGGCTGGACATCCAGTAGATATTGTTATTAAGGAAGTTTGTTTTATGGTTTAAATTCTAGTTTTGTTTAAAATGAACCCATGGGTGGGCCGATATGAGTTCATCCGTGGGCCTGAGTTGTCCCCCGGGCCGCTAGTTGAATAGCCCTGCTTTACTGTATACTTTGCACATAACCTGTCAGTCACTGACGCTAGCATGAAGAGTTTATCTGACAACCAAAGATTGATTATTAGATCTGATGTGGCTTATGTGAGCTCAGATTAAAACTAGGTTCAGTTTTCATTTAATATGAAAATGATTTAACCTAAATATTTAATCTGAACAGGTATTTTTTCCTAGAATGTATTATAACGATGCAAAAAAGTTACACTGCATAACTAAAGCAGTCCAGTCTCAGCCCTCTGTTGCAGAGCTTTGAAACCTGTTCACGTGCTTTAAGATGTACAAGTTAGGTGATGTAATTACTACTAACAAGCTATGCACACGTTCTTAAAACTCTTTATCATGGCATTGTTTTATAAATGGTTTTGCTGAACTTCTAAAACATTTGTATTATGAGGTTTTATAAATCTTTGCATCATTTTTGCTTTTTTTTTTTTTTTTTAATTTCCAGAGTTAACGTGTAACTATACTTTCGTGGAAGATCTTGAGATCTGAATGTCATTAAAGCAGTTTCTTGGCTGACGAGTGACAAATGTTTTGAAGTGGAGTTTGTAGAAGGATGGAACGTGTATTATCTTGTAGATCACTCTGACCTCAATTTGGAGAAATAGTTTGATTCTATGACAAGCTAGCTGACATCTAAATAAATCCAGCTTTCAAAATTTCTTAGCAGTTCATGCAAACGTTAATAAATCCTTACTAACACTTAAATATTACATTAATATTTTGGCAGAAACATGTTTCTGTTGAAATGCTGCAGGTAGAGGCTGCTGCCACTATTTGCACTGGCAGAAAACAAACCTTTTTAAATAGCTTAATGTTAAAAGCAGCAGTATAAAGGTTTATAAAACGGCATTGGAAAGAACCTTGAACATTTTTAATACTGGAGTTGTTTTAAGCAGTCCACATTGATCTTGGCCCTGTTTGAATTGTCTCATATCTCATCAACTTGGTTAAACTGAATTAAATTGTTTCAACATGTAAAATATTCATTGCTCATAACCTTCACACAGATTTGAGCTGCTGCTTTAACAAGTTGCCACAAGGGTTCACTGCAGAGTTAAAAATAAAAAAAAAATACTGGATTTTTTTTTTAAATCAGTGAAGTGCATATTGTATATAGTGAGAATATATACAAAATAAAAAATGTAATTTAAAAACAAGAAATACACTAAGATCCTCATGCACCTTTGACGTGGATACTGTTTCCGTATTAACAGAGTACGTATGTTAACGATGTGTGGAGTTTAGACGTCGTTCATTCTTGCTGGCTTTAATTAAACGCAGGCTGTCGGTGTTTCAGGCCTTCCGTGAAAAGGATGAAAAGACTTTTCGGATGTTCCAAAGCTGACGTGGCCCTCAAAAGATAATTTAATTTGGCTCATTGTTCCAGCAGTCATTACAGCCATTTCCATAATCTATTGGGCTGAATGAGCAGGCGATGAGGTCCAACATTATTATGAATTAAAGCAGGATTCATTTATACGTCTTACAGTTATTCCATTAGCAGCTATTGTAGCGAGCAATAAGCCAGACTGAACCCACTGACATACATTTTATATGGCCTCATTTAATACGGAGCCAAGCATTTGGTCTTCTGAGATCTAGGTCCAGCTGTTTGGGGGGTATGTTGAGGATGTGGTGCACGGTTTCTTCCAAATTAGTCTGTTGCTGCCGTCTTTATTCCTGCCTCAGACACACACAGAGCCAGGAATAACTGCGGAGACGAGCCTGCAAAAGTGTTTGAATTTTAAATCAGCATTAATAGTTCATTAGCCTGAAATAAGGTCTCCTGTGTGTCGATGTGTCCTCTCACCGGGGGATTGTGTGTTTATTTATGCTGCATGGTGCAGCATACGCTCGCATGCTCCAGACATCAAACAGCTGGCTGTGTGCAGCGTGTCTCTAGCTCCATATTCCAGCATGCCTCAGCGTGCACTGATGGAGCCCCTTTCTGCTGTGGGACCGACGAGGGCCAAATGAGTAACTAGTCCAATTAAGAGCTCTTAAATAAATTACATTGTAAGCTGGTAAATGTGTAACAACAGCAGCACTGCTTAATTTGTCTATTTATACAGCGAGCTGCAGGCTGAGGTGCTAAAGGGAAGATCAGAACCTTCCCGTTCTCTGGATGTTGAATGTAATCAATAATAACTCAAGTCATAAAGTTAAGTTATTGCTCTTATTGATTGATTGACATTGCACTATATATGTTGGTCCAGTAAAGCATGTTGAAGGTGCAAGGTCAGTGGTAGTACATCAGAGGTGTCGGCTCGATAAAAGCAAGTCAAATCCAAACATATGATCATATACCTAATTTAAAAAAATCTATGTCGGCAGCAAACACAAAGACTTTGCATGTCTTGTTTAACTATGCGTCCTTGAAGAGTTTTTACAAGACAACACAAACAGTATATCACTGTTGTGTTGAGGATTTGTGTTGAAATGTCATTAATTAATATCTTACCTGCAGTAGAACTATGAACAACCTGATTTTGGAGAAATAGTTTATTCTGGCTGAACTGACAAACTAATGGCTAGTCTGAACTTTGCAAGAAGTGGATTCCTGATACTTTAAAACAACTAGTCTCAAAAATAATTTAGTACTTTTACAAACATTATTTTATAGACATTTACATTGTTATCTGTTGTGCATTATGTCATTTTTCCATTGAGTTCAATGATTATCTGAAAGCACAAATGGCTGTAGCAGCAGTTAGCTGAAACGCTTCCTGCAGTGATGGAGTAACATTTGAGCTGGATTACTTTGTGAAAGCTGGTTTAGATTTCAGTTTTCATACTTTTTCATCTTTTTTATTTTGTTTTTAATCATTCATTTACAAAAACATTCAGCTCATTCAGGAAATGGGTTCAATGACTTTTGGTTTTATAACTTTTCTGGTTTTCAAAATATTTGACTTTATTTACAGATTTTATATATATAT